GCAGCTGTGTGGTAGGAGACGGTGTCGACTGTCGGCAGCTGTGTGGTAGGAGACGGTGTCGACTGTCGGCAGCTGTGTGGTAGGAGACGGTGTCGACTGTCGGCAGCTGTGTGGTAGGAGGCGGTGTCGACTGTCAATTTATTGTACAATTATTCTACCTTTCAATTGCGCTAAAGCATTTGTTAAAATGCACTATGCCCAAGACAGCTCCTATCATTTACTTGCTATGCAGATTACGAAGCGCTTAAGCGTGGCAATGGGACAGCCGATAGAACTGATGTCACACGTGCATCGAGGTGCGGAGCTATATTTTATAACTTAACCCTATTCCTGGCGGGGGGGGGGGGGGCCTCAGGAGCCCCCCCCCCCTGAGGTTTTTTGGTTATTTCTCCCAAACGCGTTGAGCTAGGAAGCTCAAATTTTCTGACTTTTCCTAAAAGGCTTCTACGCAACATGTCTGAAAATTTTGAGTTGATCTGACCTCAGGTCAGGTCACCAGAGGCGGTTTGGTGACCCTACCTCAGAAAAGTTTGCAATCACGCCAGAGCTAGAGTTTTTGACCGATCAATTTCTTCTCTTCAGGGTTTAGTTAGGGTACCAGTATGTGCAATTTGTATATCTCGGAATTTTGATATCGGTGACCTAAGGTCAGGTCAATTTCGCGACCTCCCCATTATAAGTCAATGGGGGAAAAATCAACTCCCTGTTTTTACCACTAAAACGGGTCGGAATGGCCCCATATACCATACATGACTTCATATACGATCAACCTTCACTACCTTGAGGTCTGTTTTGCTGTTGGGCAGCTGTGAGGTCATGTGACGTCATCAAAGGTCACCAAAGGTTTTTGGCCAATAACTCCGTACAGGAACAAGATACAGACGCGTGGATGGTCTCATTGTGTTCAGCTCGTCAAGACGCATCGAATGATATACATGATGACCTCGAGGTCACGTGACCTGAGGTCACGTGACCTGAGGTCAACCTTTGACCCGGCCCCCCCCCCCCGCCAGTTTCTTGTCCCGGCGGAGCCCGCCAGGAATAGGGTTAAGGCCTTGATTGAGCAGATTGGTGTCTATTGTTTCGCACGGCATTCGTCTAGAGACGTGGGAACTAGGGGTTATGGGTATAGTGCGGCAGCTAACGCCCCAATTTAAAGCGATTAGGTATTACTGTTCCTCTAATACATATGTGGTCGCAGCCCCCAATAGCAAACCGTTCCAACTGGGACTTGGGAGCTAAAAAGTCAGCCACCCAGGGGGGTTCGTACCGGGCTTCTCCCACCGGCCAATTCACGACACGAGCGTTCATCCACTGAGCTACCGAGAATAGGCCCCGGTAGGACAAAACAAAATAACATTCACCCGCTGACCGCCAATGACAGTTTTGTGACATTTGATCGCGTTTGACCGCGGGGGGTAGTCACTGGTCTCGGTAGCTCAGTGGATGAACGCTATAGCGTCGTAGGGTGACCGGTTGGAGAAACCCGGTTCGAACCGTCCCAGGTGCGATACTTATTTGCTCCTAGTTGGAACGGTTTGCTATTGGTGGCTGCGACCACACATTAGAAGAACAGTAAGATTTGCTTGAAGTTGGGGCGTTGGCTGCCGCGCTATCCAAAAACCGCAGTTCCCACGTCTCTGGACGATTGCTGTGCGAAATAATAGACACCAATGAGCTCAATCAAGGCCTTAATACTTATCTGTTATAAACAATGCAGCTCCGCAACTCGATGCACGTGTGACATAAATTCTATCGGCTGTCCCAATGCCACGTTAAAGTGTGTCGTAATGCTCATGGCAGGTATGATGATAGGCGCTGTCTTGGGCATAGAATATTTGAACAACTGCTTTGGCGCAATTGTTAGGTACAATAGTTTCCGCCTTAAGACGCGAAAGTTAACTACACGCGCATAGCCGCGCGAAGGTCCATGCTCCCACTTTCCCACCCCGCCTCACTCCCCAGCTTTCGCCAGCCGCCGCGCCGCGCCGACCCGAGCCATGCCTCCGGGCTCGGCCCTCACCGCTGCGCTGACGTCACAGGCGGCCCACATCAACATCGCCTTCCAGCCACCGACCCAGACCGGTGTCATGCGGTGTGGGTAGGCTGTGCCGCTTGACAAGTAAGTGAAGCAGCACAGTCTACCGGTACCAGGCGGCTGCTGCCAATGTTGAGCCATAGGAACCCGGTGGATAAAGAGTTGTAGAACATCAATCTGCCCCCGAGTGTACTACGAATACCCGTCACGACCCCTACCGGTTGACCTGACCTGACCTGACCCGACCTGGTATAAACGCTTAACGACATCATCTGTGATCAAAACTAACACGATGTTCGTGATCAGCACCCCGGGAAACCCCTTAGCATCTACGCTTTACGACTTTCTAACAGGTCCCGAATCCCGATATTCCCGATTTTTTGGATCATTGACCTGACCTGGAAGGTCAACCGGTGACTTAGGACCTTAAAATTAGGTAGCATTGGCTTCCTCTCGTGACGGGCAAAACGCTCGTTTTTTCGCGAAGCTCGCGCTCCATCAGGGGCCAGACGCGAGGGGAGGTCGTACCAACCCTTGTGCCGTCGAAGGACTCAAAATGGCCTGTGCCGGCGAGGGTTAAAGCCGTGGGGGCACGGCCCCAGAGTTGGGTGCGACATCTATGCATATACCGGGTGTCCACGTCAAAAGTGTACCCAGACTTTTCTCCGTATTTTATCTTAAAAACATCACACTCACAAACAATTGCCCTCGTTTGAGAGCCAAGGCAATGGCAAAACATTTGCTATGCTTTTCAACTGTGTTCGGCACTCTGATGACCAGCGCGTGCCGTCTAGAGCAACTGCTCTATATGAGCCGCTTTGCGTCAGGCCACCGCCGGCAGACGGACCGTGGCATGTGAAATCCCACAATGCCCCGTGCACTGGGTATCCCATTGCCTAGAAAAAGTTCAGACCATTCCTTTGCACAGCAAGAAAGTATCGGTTTGGGTGGCAATGAGGCATGGAGGGGGCATTATCGGCCCCCTTCTTTTTCGAAGACGACAGGGGAGAGACAAACACAACAACGTAACGCTAGAACGCTACGCCTCGGAGGCACTGGAACCATTCTGGCGAGAGCTGAAGCGGAGACGCGGGATCCGTCGCCATGAAGAATGTTTTCAACAAGACGCCTCACACCGCCAAACGGTCGCTGGAATTCCTGGAGGAGCACTTTCCTGACCGCCACATCAGCTTGAAAAGCGCGGTGGAATGGGCTCCCCACTCGCCCGACCTCAGCCCTCTAGATTTCTTCTTGTGGGGCTTTCTCAAGGACTTGTGCATACGCTGGCAATCCAGGGTAGACCCAAGAGCTGAAAGACGTCATCATCGACGAGATCCGTCGCCTTCCTTCCCACATGGTTGACCAGGCGATCACCCACCTCCAGACGGTCTATCTGCCGGCGGTGGCCCGACGCAAAGGGGCTCATATAGAGCAGTTGCTCTAGACGGCACGCGCTGGTCAGCAGAGTGCCGAGCACAGTTGAAAAGCATAGCAAATGTTTTGCCATTGCCTTGGCTCTCAAACGAGGGCAATTGTTCGTGAGTGTGATGTTTTTAAGATAAAATATGGAGAAAAGTCTGGGTACACTTTTGACGTGGACACCCTGTACATATAAACCGGCAACCGCAACATCTGTGTCCGCTGATTCTAGTTAGCGATTAGCTAGGGCACCAGAGTGGATCCAGACTTCCAGTTTGCTGTTTGAGGGTGGGGGACTCGCGGCAGTTAAAGTTGCTGAGCGGGGGGGGGGGGGTGAGGAAGGTCTATTATGATGCCACAAAGACATGCCTATTGCCTATAGGTATATACGTATGTATTGGCATCAGCACTCAGCAGTGTGCCTCCTGAGATATTAGTGATTTTCATCGACTCATCATACATCAAGTTGACGATTTGAGGATACCTTTAACAAAGTATATACCTAGCTATCATGCAAAAAATCAGTGAAATGTTTTCTTCCAAAAATAGACATGTGGGACTCCTCAGAGACCAATTGTAGCTGCAGTTAAATAACTCAGGAGTAAAGCCACGTGTGGAGTCAATATGCATGCTAGTCAACTGGAAGGACCCAAAGGAGCCGCCGAGGGCTCCCGTAGAATAAATGGTGTAAGCCCTCAGGAGGTATACTCATCCTCAACTTGATGAATCGATAAAATCACCAACATATCAGGAGGCACCTGGCACACTGCTGAGTGCTGATATCAATACATACGTATATACCTACCTGTAAGTTATAGGCATGTCCTATGATATCATCATGGACCTTCCTCCCCCCCCCCCCCCCCGGCACTTTTGACTGCCGGGGATCGGGCTGGCCATGAGTCCTCCACCCTCAAACCGAAAGTCTGAATCCACCCTGGTGCCCTAGCTACCTAGCTCAGGCGCATCGATTGATATACTTTTTGTTCGGGTGAGGTGAATTTAAGGCATTGACCTCGTGACAAGGTCAGGCCAGAGCTCTCCGGTCACGAAGCTGGTCGAGTAAGGTCATGTTGCATATCATTCGATTCGGCAGGTCTTTCTGAGCCCATTTGTGGCTTTCCCGATTCGCTAGCTCAATTTGATCGAGTTATCGAAGAAAAATTTATGACCCTTGTGACGTCACAAATGACGTCACGCAAGGGCAACAATGCAAATGTGAAGCATCGGGCCCTGCAAGGAGTGCATGAAATCACGATTCTATATGCTTGAGATAGTTTCAGATCATTTGCGTGCCAGTAATACGTTTTCTTAGACTCCTCCCCGTTTCTCCGAGACACGACTTATCACATTTGCTGCATGATATTTTGTACATATTGCTGTCCGAATCTCCTTTTTTCCTAGCCATAACTTTACTTATAGCTTGCTTTGTAGCTTCCTTTGTGACTTTCTCAGGCTTCCTAACTATAACTCATAATAACTATCCTTTAGCATAGTAACTGCGGGAAGGAAGGTCCGGCAAGTCGGATAATAAACAATTTTATAAAACAAACGAAAAGTATTTATTACATTTACAGCATGTAACTCCACAGGATGAAATAAAAGCAATCACACTGTCAATTTTACCAGCGGTATACGAGCGATTTTTCCAAGAGTCTGGCTGGGCCGAGAGGCCGGCAGGCGACACACACGGGCGACCGCGGCAGGTGTGGCCCGTGTCCGAGCGTCCGAGTTCAGCGGCGCCGCTAGTGGCCATACTTCTGGAACTCCCACTCCCTGTTGTCCAGCGGGCACACCTGGCGCGTCTTCAGCCAGCGCGAGATGCAGTGGAAGTGGAACGCGTGGTTGCACACGCCCCACGCCACGGTGCATTCCTCGCTGGTGGCCGACGCCTGGTTGGCCTGGCACTCGATGCAGTGGTCCATGATGTGGTTGCGGCAGATGGCGCAGTTGTCCACCACTATGTCCCACGCCCAGAGCGCTACCGCATTCCACTTCTTCACCTCGAAACGCTTCTTGTCAGCCTTGGAGGTGCTCGGAGCGGCGGCGTCTTCGTCCATAGTGTCCACCTCCATCGACGCCATGGTCTGGTCTGCTGGCTCACCGCGGGCCTGCAACACCGCGCTCCGGTCAGTCACAGCGCTGCAACATCGCAGCCCAGAGCACAAGGTGGCTGCAATGACAACTTTAAGGATGTGCGGAAGATAGTATCATCCCTTCTACCAGATATCGCACTAATCACTATGCATGTGGGTGACCATCACTGTAAGTGTACGTGCCGCGTGCAGATTAAGGGATGTTAAGTGTGTGTCCATCAAAGTAACTCGGTAATTAAAGGGCCGATTGCGCCGAAACTTAACTTTGCATGTCGGTAGGCACTAGAGATATCATTTGGACAACAACTTTTGTTTTTGCATACCGATACCAAACCCGATAGCTTGGTATTTGGTATTTCAAACCTAAAATTTTTGGTATTTTGTCGGTATCATTAACCCTTGCTTACTGATGTGTAAGAAACTGTGAGTTTGGTATAAGATGGTATTTCCCTCAATTTCACAAGTTACCCTTTTATTGACGGGCTCCTGGCTACCCCTATTAGTAGCAAGGGGGGCTAACTAGGACCCTCTTGATATCTCGAGATCTAAGCGGCCGATGTTCAAAATTTGTACGGCAATCGATTCCACTCAACGAGATCTACATTTCGAAATAGTCCCCAAAAACGCACATAAGGGGCAGTAGGGGGTAATAACGGCAATTTTTTGTTTTTTTTAACTTATCACCAAGGCCATGTTTTTCAACCAATTTTGACACAACAACTGCCGATCGACGCAGGATGAATCGAAATTGACATGCATCACAAAAAATAAGCATTTCGAAAAATGATATGCGAATACAGCGATTTGGGAGGTACCTGAAATACATGATTAATCGGGTGTTTTGCTGGTAATGTCACCGAAACGGGTTGGCAATGGTCTTATTATGTTACACAAACGTGTGGTAAAATGGCTAAATAGGATATTCATAGGCGGCGTCAGGGCAACGAAGCTGGGAGGTGAAATCAACCTCCCTTTCTTTTATTCTGGAACCGCCTATGATCCATCCCTTGTTCACTTGTGAACTTGCAATGCATACAAATAATGTTGCTATACCTACGGAATGAATAACCATAGACTATAGTTATAATGCATCAGCATCGTGATCTTTCCCCAAATGACTCGCTTCACGAACAGGACCTCACAATTCCCATCCCCTGGAACCGCCCCTGATAAAGGTAGGAGAAAGTGGGGTAAGACGGTCAGCCTGACCGTCTTACCCTGACCGGGTCAGGGTAGGTAAGACGGGCACCCCCTCTGCAGACCAAACCAAGAGCCCTACGAGAGAGAAAAATTAGGACCAGAATTGCCTTTCCCAACACACACACACACACCATTGAAGCCTGGTGAATTTGTGTTCAGTCAACTATCTTTTATTTCGATTGCTCAAAAACACTCATTTCATTGAAAACATCAATAGTGTATTGTGCAAACTCTTGTGTGCAGCAAAATAAAGTAAAAAATTCGTAATCACTTGTGGTACACTCATATGCCACCAGTGTTCATTTACCGCGGAATTGCTCCGCCTGCATCAAATTGTCCACAGAGAAAAATCGTGCTGAACTTCTAACATTGAGTTTGGGGTAAGACGGGCAAGTATGGATCCAATGGGTCTTTAAATGGTGAAAACATTTCTAATGCTGTAGGAAAAAAGAAGCATTTCTGGTGGAAATATGTTCGATTTAGATACTCACAGACATATAAGCAATATTCCTTCGGTACCTCTAATAATGAAAATGAAAGACGGCTTTACAAGGCTTCTGAACTATGGTCTATATACAAGCATACGCATTCTGCACGAATCACGTATACTGATTCTTTTCGAAGCACTCGAGACCAACGAGCGACTGTATCAATACGGCTAATCTCGGGCATTTGTTACGAGCTGTGCTGGTCGGTGAAAGGAGCTGGCCGTCTTGCCCTACCCATGTGACCGTCTTACCCCATGGGGCGGGGCAAGACGTTTTTTTTTTTTGCAAGGTTTTGCAATAATGGCTACAGTTTACTTGTTGCATCAGCTCGAAGTTTCATCTTCTGGCAAATGAAAGTAAAATGCCTAAAAAAGGTTTTCAATTATTGATGGAGTTAAGTGCTTGTGCGAGGTACATTGTAATAGTTATTTCAAAATATATAAGCATGACCTTTTCTCGATATTGAATAAAAAAAATCCATGTAAGGGGTGTGGACAAAGTTACGTGGGGGAAACGGGGAGGGGGTAGATGTAAGGGTAAAGGAGCACAAGAGTGACGTCAGGTTCCATCGCACATCGAATGCGATCGTACTCCACATTGAAAAGTGTAACCATCTGTGATGGTTGGGATGGGGTGGGACGCATATTTTAGAAAAGAATATGATAAAACGAAAACGCAAAATCATCGAAGCCGCTCATATTATCTCACGCGAAACTTTAAACACTAGGAGTGGGTTCATTCCTTTAGCGTCTGGCGCTGTTCGTCTAGTTATAGGTAGTCCCGTGCGATGAAGTCAATTTGCCTTTTGAATCATGATATGTTTGAAAATATTCCTTCATTTTAGCATACACACAGTGATCAAGGTATTTGTTACCGATAGCTTTGTATTTTTAATTGTGTATTTGAATATATTGTCCTTTTTATATATTTCTAACTATTCTTAAAACTAAACTGGGCAGTGGGCACATTCCCTGAAAATTATAAGTTGATAGGGGAAAGTGGGGTACGACGGGCACCCTAATTTTGGAGCCATTTTTGGCCGGTTAGATACAACATAGAGACGCGAAACTTAGTGAAAACCTTTTTTATTTGAAAATATATAACCATGACCTTTCCTCGATATTGAATATATAAAATTGATAGGTATTGATATTGATATTGAATATCAGGAATGTATAAAAACGACAGTATATTCAAATACACAATTAAAAATACAAAGCTTTCGGTAACAAATACCTTGATCACTGTGTGTATGCTAAAAAGAAGGAATATTTTCAAACATATCATGATTCAGAAGGCAAATTGACTTCATCGCACGGGACTACCTATAACTAGACGAACAGCGCCAGACGCTAAAGGAATGAGTCCACTCCTAGTGTTAAAAGTTTCGCGTGAGATAATATGAGCGGCTTCGATGATTTTGCGTTTTCGTTTTATCATATTCTTTTCTAAAATATGCGTCCCATCCCATCCCAACCATCGCAGATATCTTGATAGAATGCCTGGAGGAGACGCTTCGAAAGCGAACTTCAGCAGCACTAATTTAATCAATTTTACAACTTCCCGGAAAATTAACCCTCGCCGGACCTATTGGTTTTCTACATACGCGCCGGCCGAGGGGGGGGGGCGGGTACGACCCCCCCTCGCCGTTTCGCCCCTGGTGGAGCTAGCGCGTCGCGGAAAAAACGAGCGTGTGCGCCGTTACGAGACGCAGAGATTGGTACCCGATTTTAAGGTCTTAGGTCAACCGGTGACCTCTGAGGTCAGGTCAAGTGCCCCAAGGTACGGTTCAGTTTTTGGTGAATAACTTCGCAAAAAACGGCCGCAGAACCGTTTTGGCAGCATCGTGTTCGCCTTGCTCAGGCGCGTCGAATTATATACTTTTTGTTCGGGTCAGGTCAACTTGGGGTGTTGACCTCAGGCCAAGGTCAGGTCAGCACCCCCAGGTCACGAAGTTGGTCGAAAGAGGTCATGTCGCATATCATTCGATTCGGCAGGTCTTCCTGAGTCCATTGGTGGCTTTTCCGACTCGCTAGCTCAATTTGATCAAGAGTTATTGACGAAAAACTAATATGACCTTGATGACGTCATAAATGACGTCACGCAAGGTCAACATTGCAAAAGTGACGCATCTAACCTTGCAAGGAGTGCATGAAATCACGATTCTGTGTGCTTGAGATAGTTGGAGATCGTTCCCGGCGCCAGAATAGCAGTTTTCATTTTTTCCCCATTGACTTATAATGGTGAGGTCACGACAGTGTTCCATTTTTCAGACTTTTTGGTGGCAAATCACACCTAATGGGGAAAATACTTTCATCCCTAAAATATGAATGACAGACTTTACTTCATCTCCGAAAAAAAGTTTCATGTATTCCAAACAGCCAGTTTACATGTCACTTGACAGTTGATGCACCCACATCCTTTTGTTTCACACCCTGTCAAGATTCTGACATGAAATCCTGGTTTAGCAGTTGGCATACAAATTGGCATTACACCATTTTGCAAATATACTTCGGTTATTTATTTCCTTTTTTCTCATCCTAGGATTTTTTTTTTCTTCATCGGCACACCCAACCAAAATCCAATTTTAGAACACTGGGTCACGAAAATGACCTGACATCATATGACCTTTAGGAAAAATCCGAGATATACAAGTTGTGAGACTCATAATGGATACTAGATCCTGCAAGTTTCATTTCCCTGTGACATCTCCTCTGGCAGTGAGGGCGTTGTGAAGCTGCGACATCTGAAGACCGTGCAGAGGTTCACTTATGACGTCATAGGTCAGTGACCTGACCTGACCCAAAAATGCGGTTGGTGTCAAAAGATCCGGCTTGAATCAAAGGTCAGGTATGCCAAGTTTCAGCTCTCTATCGCCAGCGTGTTCGGAGCTATCGTGAAAAAAAACCCTATGGGGGGGGGCGGCACCCGCCCCTCCCCTCGGCCGGCGAGGGTTAAAGGGACCCTCCCACCTTCACAAAAGTTAATGAATTGGCATGGAAGTGATGTCGCTCGGTTCAGAAAGATCGAAAACGAATATCTACCAAATTTCACCGAAAAATATTCACCGGTTTTCAAGTTATTAGACTTTTACTTTTGTTTACTTTTTTGGGATCTCCGCTGTTTCTAGCGACTTTATTTTAGAAGTGCGGCGTTTGCGGCAGATGTTGCGCGCAAATAGCATATACCACCGCGTGCTACAAAACGTTTTAGTCAAACATTTAAAAATCGTTAGATATCTGCGCTGACGTCACACATTCAGAGGGGTATTCCTAAGCATTAGCCCCTCTGAATCAAAATGCTGCAATTTTGAAATTCAATATTTCC